TTGCACTTTGACGTGCTTTCGAACTGCTAGGTGGGCAGGAGCAGGGACCGAGCAACAGGAGCTCACCCCGTTGCGGGGATTCAAACTGCCAACATTTTGGCAAACATTTTGCAGTTCTCCAACCAATGTACAAAAGAGTGTTACTGAGATGCATGTGTTAGTGAAAATAACATGCAAATGTGTGTTATCCTCAGAAAAAAATGCATGCAGAAATTTGTGTGCCTGGCAAAATTACGGGTATGTACAAAAACATGTGTATGAGTTGAAATCCTTACTAGAATCCTAACTGATTTTCAAGATTATTATTATTTAAAAAAATAAATAAATCACAAACTGATGCATGAAGGAGAACTGAATTGAAGGTTGACTGAAGGAGAAATGGAGAGAAACCAAAACTGACAGGATGACAGGAACTGGGGCAGTGAACATCAGTTGCTGTGGTTTCCCATTGGTGTCTGACATATTCTGATGTATTTTGCTAGTTTATGATCAAAGTAGTAGTATTTGGTTACCTTGCTTTTTTAGAGATAGGGGGGATCTGAAGCTTTTGTAACCACCCCAGTAACATCGAGAGCAAGCCTTGAGCGGCAAGAATTCCACTCCTACCCAGTGATGTGAAAGAAATTTTGCTTAGCATACACTCCCAGGAATGCTGCGTCACCTTCCTGAATGGATAAATAAAACAAGCTCAGTTGATTCCCGCCAATAGAGGGCAGTAGAGGCCATCTGGAGCCTGTCTTCATGTAGGCTGTAGCTATTGACATACCAGTTTACGATTTGCTCCTATGGAGCTGCCTTAGGCTGAGTCAGGCTACTCGTCTCTCTTGCCTAGCATTGCTTATCCTCTGAGGTTATTCCCAAAGCTGCAATCCTCGCACCCACCTCATTTCAGCCAGAGAAAGCAAGGATTGGATCTTGCCAAGCGTGTGCTCTGTCGCTGAGTTATGGCTAATCTCCACCAACACACCCATGAGCTGGGGGCAATTCCTCCATGCTCAAACCACAGGCGAGTCACATGACTTGTCAGCCTGGCTGGGTGAGCTGATTTTGATCAGCATGGCTGTGCTGAATTTCTTCCCACTTGGGTGGGGCTGAGCCCTTATCCACACTATCTTCCCTATATACATAAAAATGTAAGGTGGTCATCACGCAGCCCCCATTGGAGGATTTGTAGTGCCTCATCTGAATGCCTCCACTTGAGGAGAGTCCATCCCTTCCCAAGGCAGACTGTTCTACTGTCAAAACAGCCTGTACTGTTAGGAAGTGTGTCTCCTGAGTTTGAGCCTGATTCTGCTTCCGTCTCATGGAGGAGAAGGCTACCACTGCTTACCAGCTGAGTGCTGATGTGCTCAGCTCCTGCTTGAAGGTTTTCCAGTGGTTGGCCACTGTGACAACAGGGTGCTGGACTAGACAGGCCATTGGCCTGATCCAGTAGCCAGACTTATTCTGTTCTTAAATCTAAGCAACAGCATAGGTGTTGGTAAACCCTTCTAGCCTGGGTTTCACTGACAATTACCTGGAATTAGCAGCTGTCAGCAGTGTCTGATGACCAGTTAAGTCCAATTCACTGTTATCTGAAGTATGGGATGAATGCAATGCAGTTAATCAGTTAATCTCCTAACTCATCGCCACCCATTTATAATATCATTTATTCACCACCCACTTCCATCTGACAGATGTCCCACCTACTTACTAGTCTTTCCCTGTGACTTTCAGCTTCCCTTTCCAGTTAACTTAACAACCAAGAAGTTTCCTTCCCTCCTCCAAACACAACCACTCAACCTTGGCTCAAGCTGGTATTTTGAGCTTTGAGTGAGGGGAACCTGCGGAACCTAAGAAGTGCTCTGATGGGTCTGGCCAATGGCCTGTCTAGTCCAGCATCCGGTTCTGACAGTAGCCAATCAGATGCCTCCAGGAAACTGGTGGCCAGGTGTCAGGTGGCAGAGGAAGCAACTCCCATGGCCGGTTCCCAGGGACATATAAGACAAGGAAAAGTTCTTACCATCTGCTTTTTATTCAATATTTACAGAATGCAGCCTGTTGGAATAATGACATTGTCCCGAGTGAAAACTGCCCTCTGCCTTTGAGCTCTTTGCTCTCCTACTTTCAAGGCTCGCTGGGTTCTGGGAGAGAAGGGGGTGGGTCTGGAATGATTTCTAAAGACACTGTGTCCATCAGCTGTCACCCCCTGGTGAGTCCTCCTCCTCCTCCTCCTCTCCCATTATTTCCCAGCTTTCCACCTCATCCGCCTCTGAGCTGAGACCTCCCTCAATCCCCTGTTGTAGTTCTGAACTGTCTTCTTCTTCTCTGGAAGGGTCACGCTTGGGGAGGCAGTCTCCACCATTCCTCCTCTGCCCAGTCCCTGACAGCAGGGCATGAAGGCAACAGGCCTCCCTCTCTATTACTCACAAGAACCCAAGAAGGCCCATCTAGTCCAGCTCAATGTTCTCTCATGCCTCTGGGAAGCCACCAGAATCACAACTCTCTTTAGTGTCCTTCCCATGTGCCTTCTCCAGAGTGACCCTAGGAGCCGATCCTCAGTGGCTGACTCACCTGATTGGTTCCAATCAGCAGAAAGGTGAGGAGGCCTCTTCTCAGTTGATAGAAAGCTCCCCTTTCCTGCTGATTGGTTGGCTTTAGGAAACTGGAAACAGGGGCCAGGCCACAGAAATCACAATGGGTCCTCAGCCCCTAGACTACTGCACCTCTGCCTTCCATTCTCAATGGGCACCAGCCACCTACTAGATACCTCTGTACCTTCAGTGGTGAGAAGAAGCTGGGTTTCCACCATGACTGTTTAACCCACTGTGAGTCATCTGCTCACAGGATGACTGCCATTGCCATAACCTTGGCTGCATCAAGCCTGTCAATCGGCAGGTTGGGGGTATGTCATAATTTGGGGAAGCCCAATATCCTCCCCTTTCATTGAGGTGTTCCTTTGACAACATTCCTGCAGGCTTTCACACTTACTTATATAAGCCTGGTAATTGGAATGGCTTTGGTTTGTGGGGGTGGCCAAGGGATGAGTGAATTCAGTCGCCTGTTAAATACTTGCTGCAATTTGTGCTGTTGTTTTTCAACCAACAGGCTAAGAACAACAACTACGAAATAACTCAGCAAGGATTTGCAGGGCTTGGCATCACTGGGGAGGACAGTGGCATGCTTCGTATTAGCCTTTTTTGATCCTGCTCTGGCTGACTTCTTGGCTGAGGGAGTTGCCTAAATTGGAAAGATGAGTAAGGCAGGCAACGCCCCATGGCAATGGAAGAAAACAACCATCCAGTTGAATGACATGGAAACTTGGGAAGCAGCCGTATTCCAAGTTAGACCATTGGTCCATCTAGCTCAGTATTGTGCACACTGACTGGCAGAATCTCTGCAGTGTTTCAGACAGGCTTCTGAAGATGCTGAGGGTTAAATTGAGGACCTTCCCCATGAATGGAGAACTTCAGACCTCCAGATGTTGTTGAGCTACAACTCTTCTTACCCATGACCATGCTTCTTGGGGCTGATGGGAATGAGGAACATCTGGAGGGCCAAGGGTACCCCATGCCTAACCATCTTTGGACCACAACTCCCATAATCTCTAACCATGGACTAAGCTGTCTAAGGATAAAAGGAATTGTAGTTCAACTACAACCTACAGTTGAAGAACACTGGTCTACACTGACCGTGAGCCTCCAGGATTTCAGAGTGGTCCTGCTAGCTTTTTTACTGGGAATTTTAGAGATCCAATCTGAGATTTTAAGCATGCAAATCATGTGATTTCCAAGGCTTAGAATGAAGTTCCCTGAACTAGTTACTGTATAAAACAAACACACCTTAAATTAGACCCCAAAGTGGTTTTCATAATTCCCTGCTGAAGTAAATGTGAATTAAGTTTATTTTGGGGTAGAACTTAAAACAATTTCTAGTTCATATTCATCTCTCCCCACTCCCACCCGCAATGCAGGAAGCCCAGAATATTTGCTTGCTCACTTTTTTTAAAGGAAAAACTTGGTATTTATAAAGAAAGTAAGAAAGCAAACGGTGAAGGCAATGTTCTATGGCTTCTTAGGCAGATACAATGGCATTGCTGCTGCTAAGGATACTTAGTCACTTAACCGCTTTTGCCAAGTAACTAAAAGGAAGGAATGTGAGGCATTTCCTGTGTTTTCTTTCTCCTTTCCAACAGGAGCATCTTGCCTCGAGAAGCACAAAAACAAAGTGACAGATGCCTTGGATGGCATAAATTCAGCCGGGTAAGGCTTTTCTTATATGGAAATACAATTATGGGGAAAACATCAGTGGATGACTTTCTGTCAGCCATCTTATTATTTATATGTGGGTCCAATTTTGGACCGTCTACTGAAGTGCAGCAGCTCATAATATTCTGAATTTTCTTCTTCTTCTTCTTCTTCTTCTTCTTCTTCTTCTTCTTCTTCTTCTTCTTTCATTTGGATGAATTTGGATGGAACCCGTTTGTTTTGTGAAAGAATGAATGTGAACTGGAGCCAGTGGCTTTTCGGACAGGGGGAAGTTGAACTAGTTGCTTTTAAATCTGAATGACCCAAGCACTGGTGATTTCCATTTGAGCAATAATTATATATCCAAGCCCATCATGGCTCTTCCAAGCTGTAGGGGCAGGTCCATTAAGGCAAAAGGGCCACTGCCCCATCAAAGTCAACCTGGATTCCTCCACCTCCACCTGACTTATTTACATCCAGTCCACGGTGAGGCCCTGACTGTTACCTTCCTCCACCTGAGTCTCAGGTGTTGTCCCTTGTAGAACTCGGCAAGGAGGAGGATGGGGACAAAAGTACGACGAGTTGGTGCTGCCTGCTATTGGCTCTTACTCAGCCAATCGTTGGCTCCGGCTCCACCTACTTTTTGGGCTCCCGCCCCACTAGGGAATAATCAGCAGTGGGGACAAATTGCGCCATGCTCCTCTTAGTGCAATGAGCTTCATCTCGGTTTACCCCAAGAAATTTCGAACCCCAAATAAAAGATGCTAGTCAGTATGAAAAGACACCTGCAGCATTTTATTACAGAAAGATTACAAAACAACCAGTGCGGATTGCATAGTTTTGCTCTTTTTAACCTTCAAGAAGGCAAAGGGGTAGGGGGTGAGGACAAAATAGGAGCACAATAAATTATTAAGTTAAAGCCACAAAAAGAGGTCACTTTCCATAATTCTGCCCCCCTCTCCCTCTCATACATGCACACACTCAAAATAAATTACAGTCAAATATTCTCCTTCAAAATGCATCTGCATCCAACCATCATAGAATTCAACAGCAAGGCAGATGGATATACAGTACATATTTCATTCATAGAAAATAATAGATAGATAGATATCTACAGGATTCTATCCAACACTAGCCATACTACTGAGGTTAATGGACATGACTAATTTAGATTCATTAAATTCAATGGGTCTTCTCTGCACGGGGCTTAGTTGGACCCACAGTGATCCCAACAGTGTGGGGATAGATTCCAACTCCCCCTTGCTGAAACAATGCTACTTGGACTTATTCAGAGAGACATGTTTATCATTTGAGGACTAACACAGGCATAGCGGTGACCCCCAGCTCAGATTGCTCTGTGGGCGTGCAGTCTCAGAAAGGCTCAGGCAGGTAATTTGCCACTTGGCATGGCAAACTTCAAGTGATGAACAGGGATGACTGAATGACCCCTGAATGCATAAAGTGTGGTACAGCCCTGAGCTCTGGTGATCATCAATAAAGCTTTCTGGTACATGCAGACATCTATTTGCTATATAAAACTAAATATTTTATAGTTCAGGATTTCAGGATGTCCATAATGACAAAGCAATCTTCTGAATACAGTTGGAACATTTCTCTTTTTTTTAAATCAGGAAACCATTATGCAAAGGAGAAATCTGGCACATTTTGTGTAAAGCAAAAGTTCAATGTGCTTGCAAGTATATATCCGTTTACTTTAAAAAGAACAGCAGCCATTATGGACATGGTTGGATTTTGAGGTCTGAAGAGGGGCAATAGGTAAAGAAATCCATTTGAAAAGTTGATATTGGCTTCCAAATTTGCCAGTAAAATGTAATATTTAAAAGTGCCCTGTAACTAATTTCCTGAGTGAAGAACGGCCAATCAGAAGCTGTCGCACTGCCAGCCACTCAAAAGAGCTGACTTTGCATAGTGTTGTTCCTTTGCCACCCGAAGGGGGCGCTGTAACCTGAGTACAGGCAGTTGCTAGGCTAGACACTGGGGGTTCTTGGGCACCTATCCTGCTCCATGCAAGCTACTGTTTTTCTTCTTCTCGTTCGAGAACTCAGCTTATAAACCCTGAACTTCACATTTTAACAGAGGCAGCACGCAATCATAATTAAAAACACGTTCCTTGCCACGGATTTCAGAGTTCAAACAGGAAAGAACTACCTGTCAAACAGAAGAGGTACCGTGGGCATTACAATCAGCATGGTCAAGTATTCATTGCATCCCTCTGGGATGCCAGAGGCACTGTTAACACAGACGGAAGAGAACATAGCCTCATAAATGTTCGCTAGACACATTTTTTAATGTGTGGGCTGTTTAACATTTAACTCGGAGACACCTGTGAAATGTTGACGGTCCAGCCTCTTTGCCCAGGGATGCCCAGTTGAATCTGGTTCCCTCAGGAGAGCTTCAGCGGGAAGCTACGGTTGTGGCTTTTTATAGGGAACTGGATAACCGCCAGTCACTCTCTGGCTTTCCTCTTCCCTTAGATGAAAAAACGAAAATAAAAAAAATAGGCTTCTCTCATAAGGAGGCCACAGGTCAGTCATCTCTGAAAAGAATACCGCAGAACAAATAACATGAGGGGGGAAAGGGGGTCTTCAAGTCAATCAAGGAACCAGTCAGAATGTAATCGTCACTGTTTGCCTGGGTGAGGCTTCGTTCGGACACCTCCCTCATTAACGGAACGCGTTGCAAATCTGATCCCAAGTCCCGGGGTGGAAAACCTCGCTTCCCTGGGCTCCATCTTGTTTGCCACAGAACTGTCCGAGGAGGTTCAGAAGAGAAAAGTCACAGGCTCAGTCTCCTGTTGGAGGCTGGGCCCCATCAGTCCAGCACTTCTGAGCCAGCATTTCTGGGTCAGCAGTCACAACTGTACTGGCCACAATTCCCCACAAAAGCAGCTCTTCTTCAAAGGTATGAAGGTAGGTTTGGAGTTCTCCAAGATCCATTCTCTTTGGACGCCATTAGCTGTTGAGGTGCATATCTACGCTATGCTCTTTCCGGCGCTTGAATCCATTCAGCACCACACTTGGGTAGAGCTCAGGCATCTGGTATGTGCTATATTTTGTGTCTTGGCATGGGGTGCCAGTGCCATCACTGGCGTAAGGTTTTGTCACATCCTGGGTGCTGGCCAGGCCTTCCTCCACATAGCGGTACTTCTCCAAAGTCAAGCTTATGCTCGGGATGTTGGGGGGTCGAGACACCTTATGTGTCCTCTTGGCCGTGAACTGACGGTAGAGGAAGATGAGAGACAAGATGGCGGCATCCACGAGGAACTCCAGCAGCTCCACCACTGACAACACCGATGACCCAAACCAGAGACTCCAGTTGCTTCCCATGTTGGACATCATCTGGGATTCCTAGGGAAAACATAGATTAGACATCTGATTAGACCAGAGGCGGGGAGTCCTTTGCAGAGTGAGGGCCACATAGCCTTCTGGGGAGCCGCATGCCAGTGGTGGGAGGACCAGAGGCATAAATGGGTGTAGCAACAAACGTCAATTTTACTCTTTGTACAAGTACAGTGGTACCTCGGGTTACATACGCTTCAGGTTACATACGCTTCAGGTTACAGACTCCGCTAACCCAGAAATAGTACCTCGGGTTAAGAACATTGCTTCAGGATGAGAACAGAAATCGTGCAGCGGCAGCAGGAGGCCCCATTAGCCAAAGTGGTGCTTCAGGTTAAGAACTGTTTCAGGTTAAGTACGGACCTCCGGAACGAATTAAGTACTTAACCTGAGGTACCACTGTAGACTAGTTTCTACACACACACCGGAACCTCCCTCAATCCTCCTTCCAGGAAAGCAAAAGACGGGATCAGAGTTCAAGGACACAGTCCACCCAGGCCAAAGCACTTGGGGAGAGTGTAAAGTAGGGCTGGGGAAGGGAGTGGCCTGGGAAGAGTTCCTGGGGCCAGATGGAGAGGCCTGGGGGGCCACACTTGGCCCCTGGACTTTAGCTGCCCCAGCCCCATGTTAGACTCTATATGTTGCAGCCAACATTACTGTAATTTCCCACATGGAGTCAACCCATCAAAGTTTATGGATCTAACTTAGTCATGGCCATTAATTTTTGTGCATCTACTCTGAGTATGACTTAGATGGATAGAATGTGTTTCTCTTCCGCAAATATCTTCGTTTACCTGCGGAGTTGTCCTTTCTTTCTGTTCCTAGTTTTATTTCATTTGTAATTGCTGCTTGTCTTCCTTACGGATTTGTTTGCGGAAGGGCAACATTATGTGGCCTCTGCTATCAGTTTCAAAGAACTTATAAAGGCTAAGAACATTATGTGTGTTTTTTCTCTCCTCCCTCCTAATCTCATTTCCCCTTCTGTTGTAATTTTTAGATTCTAAGACAGGGGAGTGGCGTCTGATTCCTGATCATTCTAAGGTGCTCCGGGAGAATTTGTTTAGCTGAAGAACAAGATGCAAATAGAAATGAATTCCTTTCTTTGGTAATAGTTGTTTCAAACTGCTGTTTAAGTTGGGTTGGATCCAAGTTGACAGCATAATTCTCTGCATGCTTGTTCACTAGCACAGTAATTGGGTTCAATGGGACTTACTTCCAGGTAAGCATGAATACTATGGGTGCCTATTGTTAGCTGCAGTTGCTTGCCATGGAAACCAGTGGTAATTAACTCATGAGGAAGGTGGTGATCCGAACCCCACTTACCTGGGAGTATGCCCCAATGAATTCAAGAGGACTTACTTCTGAGTAGATACTTGGTAGCAGTCACTTAGCTATACTCAGAGTAAACCCATTTCAAGTGAATGAACATGACTAACTGAAGTTAATGTGGGCCGAATAAACACACAACTTCAACTTACTGTATATTCAGGAGATTCATCCCAAGAATTGTAGTTTAGTCGCTCGTAGTAAATGTTCACCTTGGCAATATCTTTTCTGAAACTGAGGAAAGAGAGTGTCGAGATCAAGTTAGTCCAGTGTAAATTTGTCCGTCCCCCCCCCCAATACATTTTATTACAGTTTGAAAGAAAATACATGAAGGTTAATATCAAATACACAGGATCATTTTATCAAAGTTTTTTTTATAAAAAAAACCCATAATCTAAATAAAAACAAACCAAAATGAAGAAAAGAAATAAGAAAAGGGGGAAGAAAAAAGCAAGAGGAGGAGGAGGAAAAAAGAGAACTTCAAATTCTCCATCTGTCAGCTATGTATAAACAATTACCCAAAACATCCACTCCAAGATAACTGTCCAGTGTAAATTTGATTGCGGGAACTTTTGACAAAATTGCGGAGAGACACTGCCAGTCAGTGTAGGCAGCACTGAGTTAGGTGGACCAAACAACCTCACTCTGTGTGTTCCTTTGCTCCAGATGGTTGAGGACCTTTTGTTAAAATGCAAACTGAACTGGTACAGTCAGAAGCAAGGACCAGTGAATGCCACAGTTCACCCTCCCCATCTAACTATGCACAGGACTACAGTTGGACTGAACAAAATAAACTTGGTATAATGCCATGTAAGTGGACTTTCCTTGAGGCTACAGCTCCTACTCTTCAAAATTTAGCACTTCACCATAGATGCCAGTTCTGAAGACAGTTGCCAAATAATCTTGCATTTATGGTGAAAGAGAAGGACTTGACAGCAGCAGCAGCAGCACCCCCCAGTAGAAAAAACAACGTGACTAACCTGTCGCCGGTGACATTGTATCTGTTCTGGGCTTCCAAAGCTTTGTGAATCCATGTCTAAAAAGGAAGACACAGGAACAGGGTTCAAAATCTGGAAGCAGACGCAGCAGATGGTTCAAGTGGCATTGTGCCAGGGATGGCATAGGGGAGCTGCCAGCTGTCCAAAATATCAGCCAGGCTTGCTCTTGGGTTCGTAACGGAAGCTTGCTTTGCAGAGGAGCTTAACATGCCATTGGGATAAAAATGACCACCTATGAAGGCCTTTGGGTCAAGCTGCTGTTAAAGGCAGGGAAGCACTGTGCAGTAGAGTAGTTGGCAAATTGTAATAATAAAAACCGATACATACAAGCAAGGCTGAAGTAATGCGACTATCAAGTTTTTAAAAATATATTGAACATTCAAAACTTTTTTGTTTGCACTTAGAAGTTTCATCAATATGCTTAATATATTTTCTTTGCTCTCATTTTTAAAAAAAAGGGAATTTGACATCACTATGGAGGACCTGTTGCACCCTATCAGATGTTTAAGGAGGCAGAAGAAACAGTTAAATTCTCCTCCTTTTAGGAACACACACCATAGGTGACTGGCTCCCTGATTGGTTGCATGTTCACTGCAGCAGGCTCCCTGATTGGTAAGTGACTATCATTGGCCAGCTTGGGAGAACATTGAAAATTTAGCATCCTCCTCCACTCTGAACTCCACATAGGTTATACTTTACCTTAGATTTGTTTGAGGGCCACTTTGCATATCCTGCTGAAAGTTTGTACCAAGTCTCTCTGCCAAGAAGACAAGAATGTAAAAAGGTTACGAGGAACCCTGCTGCATCAGAACAAAATCTACAGTGAACATTTTATGGTCCCGTCTCCTTTTCTATACTTTGAGATGTGGCGGCCATTTTATGTCATGTCACACCCCCATGGCAGCCAGTTGGTGACTGGAACCCACAGTACGTTCTCAACATTCCCAAAGTGTCCACTAGCCTGAAAAGGCTGTAATGCCTGGATACCCGTATGCATCCTAGGGTGATCTACATGCAGGTCGCACTTACTGAACACAACGTGTTCCCTGGAAATTGTTCGTTAGGCGACCATTCAGCTAACAAGATGACGGTTTCCATTATTTCCTATGTGAACATTTCTGATCCATGATTTTCCTCCCCCCTCCCACCATGGTTTCTTCCTTAAATTGCTGCAGCCAACCAGCAAGGGAGAGACAAAGGAAAAACTGGTTTGTTCGAACTCTCCTGCTCTGCCCTGATTTATCCAATCTCTCTCCTCATTCCTTTTCTCCATGGTTTCTGCCTGAAAATGGTTGCCGCTGACCAGCAAAGCATAAACAAGTATGGAAGTGGGCAGACTCTGGCTGTTTAGATATCTGAATCAGCTGAGCATATAGCAAGGATTGGGCAATTTTTTTTGCGTTTGGATAAGTGAATCTTCGCATAACAAGCAGACCAATAGTGGGACCTGCATGTATGGCTCAAAAAAGAATGAGGAGAGGAGGTAGATATCCAGTGGGCCAGTCAATGAAAAGGCACATATCTGGTCCATGCTAAGCTTGACCCTGCTACCATTCGAATGCGTCAAATGCCTTTGCTACTCACTTGCATGGTCTGTGGCATTTGTCAAAACAGGATTCAGTATGAGTGGCATCCTGATTGTACATGCGATTGTACAGGAGATAGAAGCAATGACCTACAGGAGGGGAAAAATAAGAGGAACAAGTTCAATAGGATACAGCTGCCACAGGCAAATAATTGAGGACAGCCCTGTTCTGCCATCATGAAGGGTCCTTGTCCAAACCAACCCCCAACATGGTCTGATCAACATTTCCTGTTTGCAGCTGAACTTAGTTTGAGTGGTACTTCCTGCTTCAAATTGAACCCACTTTCATTAGCACTTCCTGTTTCCAATTTAGCAGTTTGGCTGTCACTTCCTGTTTTCAACTGAATACAGTTTGATCAGCATTTCCTTCTCCTAACTGAACATGCTTTGCTTGAATGATGTAGGGAGAATCCCAAGGACCAGACTGTGAAAGGCCACATCTAGACCCTGGGCCTGAGATTCCCTACCCCTGAGTCGGCTCATACAAAGTATTCACATTATGTGTCCTCTTTGGTGTTCTCTCTCTCTCTGTCTGTCTTGTTGTATAAGCATCCACTCTAGTTCAGTATGCCAGGAGGTAGCCAACATAGTGCCCCCCCAATTTTGTTGGAACTCCCATCAGCCCCAGCCAATGTGGCCAATGTACAAGAATGATGGGAGCTGGAGTCTAGCAACGTTTGCAGGCACCACATTGGCTGTCATGGGGGAACAGCTGGCCAGGCTACATATAGACTCTTTGCCATTGGCCAGATCAAGTCATTCTGAACACATTTAACCACGTGTGTGTGTGGCTTCTCCTTACCCCAATTACGATGCTTGTTATAGTTGCAGTACTCCGTTCCTGGAGGCAGTGGGTAGTAATAGTACCCACAACCACAGTCTTCAATCATTTTCCTCTGGAAACATGAATGCAAGCAAGCCTGTGGGGGCAGTGAAATGGGGTGGGGAGTGAAATGGGGTGGGGAGACAGAACAAAACAGAAAGTGCTGTAAGTTAAATTTCTCTGGTGCCTTTTGCTTCAGATCCACTAGTGGGGTAGATAGGTGTTAATTTAATGGGAAGGGCTATCCCAATTGATTCTGCCACCCACGGTGAAGGAGAAGAGCCAAACCCACCATTGCAAAGCAATTCCCTCCAACAGAATGCATGCTTGCTTGGTATTTGCAACAACACATGCGTGCTTATGGAAACTTTGCCTCTGTACACACATCTTTGCACACATTACTTGGCTGGAGAATTGCACTGCACAATTTGGAATGGGGCAAATTCTGAAGGATGCTTGCTTTTTCAGCTTACCTCGTCAGTTCAAAAACTGCAAAAAAACTAGGTAGGTTTGCCTTAAGATCGAAACCAGAATCAAATTTCTCCCCTCTCTTCCTTAGCCTGAATTTCACACCCTGATTTGAATTAACTAGGCAGATCTTTGGTTGTTCTAATTATCTGAGTGATCCAACACATGAGAAGGGGCAGGATCTTAAGAAGGCAGAAACGAATAAAGTGGGAAAACAAAGGCTCTGTTTCAGCTGTACCTGCTGCGTGTATGTGCTGTTGTATATGAGCTTGACAGCTACATCATCGCCGTCCTTTGTACATGTGCCATAATTTCCGCCTAAGCGAGTTACCTCGTCCTGCGTAGTTGGAGGGAGGAAAGAGCATATCACTTGGAGTTTAGCATACAGGCCAGAAACAATTCAACATAAAGAAGCTAAACCTGGAAGAATCTCTCCCCTCTCCACCACTAAAGCAACATCAGCCCCACAGGAGGCCCTTGCAATTGCCTGTCGCCAGTTATTGAAAGTCAACTGTCTGGTGGTGGCTGGTGCCTAGCAGGTTTGGTGGGGTGGAACTCGGAGAGCCCAAACATTTTGACATTCCCCCAAATTGGGATTGCAACAAAAAACCCATTTGGAATGCCAGTTCAAAACATCAGGGATGGGGAGGAGAGGACCTTTTTTCAGAGCGACAGCTGCATTCATTCTGGGCAAACTTCTGGGGGCGGGGACAAAGCTAATAGGGGGCGTGGCATGGGATGTAAGGTTTACTTTTGCTAGTTTATATACACATTTACACAAACCCCACTCTATGTGCCATCCAGGCAGGTAAGAGACACTACCAGAGTTCAAGGGTGCATTTAGCCAGGTAAAAGCAGGGATGTGAATCAGGGTGAGGGGTGTGTGGCCTGGGAAGAGAGTGCCAAGGGCCAGATCAGAAGGAATTTGGCTCCCGGGCCTGAGGTTCCCAACCGCTGATTAAAACACTTTTACCCTGCTCTGCCTCCAGCCAGAAAGCCTCCCAGACACCCCGCCACCCCACATTTCTTAGTACAAAAGTATTGATCTGATGTGTAGAGATCTTCCCTGTTCTGCTTAGGTCAAGAGTGTTCTGGAAGGTTTCTTTCTATGTGAAAGAAACAGGCAGAAGGTTCTTGTTTGGGTTATTCCTTCTGAGAAGCTGAGTACAGCTGGTTGAAACTGGTTCTGTTATCCTTTCTGTCAAGGTCATGCTGACTCTATCTCTTTGTTCTGGTGTGGTGTTCTGTACGCTTAGTGTTATGGTTCAGCCTTATTATAAGTTCTTGTTAAGTTTAAGTTAAGTCTGCTGCAACTGGATTTCTTATGGACAGTGCCAATTCTGAATGTATTGGATTTGTGACCATTATGCTCATTTGCCTTCCGGAGCAGTAAAGCTCTGTTGGATGAAGTACAATTGCCTCTGGTCTATTTTGGGGAACTCTGCAACGTGTTTAGGTTTTTTCCTCCTCCATACACGACACATGCCAAGGTTTTTCCTGTTGCCCATTCAGACCCCCCGGTGCTCACCTGTGTGATCCCAATGGTGGTTTGAATCCCCGGCCGAATATCAAACCCCTCGTGCTCTAAGAACGCGGTCTGGTTGTGGCTGTGGATCATCACCCTCACGCCCGCCTTGGTGGACAGCAGCGGGATGTGGTCCTTTTGCTCCACTTTGAGGATAAGGGAGAGACCTGGCACCAAACAAACACAAGAAGGTAAGAAGGACCTGCTGGATGGGGCCAATGGCCCTCCGAGGAAAAAGCAGAGGGATTCGTCGTCAAAGCACAGCTCCGTCCAAGCAGGAAGTGACATCAGTCAGTTGCTAAACAGGAAATGGCATCAGCGTGTGGCCAAAGCTCTTTTTATTGCACGTGCCCCTCAAGGATTGCTCTGATGGTGGGAGGGGGCCGAACCCTGTTCAAAATTTCCACCTACATAGTTGGCCTCTGAGGTAACAATGAGCAGCTGTGGAAGCAACAGCTGCCCACACGAGAGAGCAATCGCTTCTGTGTTGCTCACTATGATGTCAGAGACACCCTCATGGGCACAAGACCTCACATATATCATCATCGCTAATGTGTAGGAATGACTCAGGGCCAGCCCAAGACATTTTGCCGTCTGAGGCAAAGGATAAGATGATGCACTCCATATGCAGAAGACCGCTGGGCTAGCAGTTGAAGTTTACATTGGTGATGACAGGGAAGCTTTCCCCAACACACCTGAAGGCAGTTACATAAGAAGCTGCCTTATACAGAGTCAGACCTTTGATCTAGCTAGCTAGCTCAATATTGTCTACTAGCTTAAGAGCTCCAGAGACCATTTATTTCAGTGCACATTTAAATTGCTGGTGTTTTCTCGCCCTGCCCTTTAGATCACACATTTGAATTGTTTTACAGTTGGTATTGTGTATTGTTTTAAAGTACTAAAATCCTCGATTTATGATAGCTCAGTTGCCTTCGTATATTCAGCTTATCCTACAGGGTGATCCACAGTTAAACTATGGAAATCGTTGAAAGAGTGATAGGCACCAACTTGGATGGTATCAAAAGACTGGAGAGATTCGTGGAGGAAAAGACTATCAACAGTTATTAGCCACGATGGCTATGCTCTGCCTCCACAGTTAGATGGGCCACTGGCCTGATCCAGAAGGCTCTTAGTATGTTATAGGGTGACCCCACCTTCTCCTCATTCTGCCCCCCTGAGCTGCCATTCTGGGCCTAGATCCATTGGGTGTACCTTGCCCTGGCAGCAAAAATCAAACTAGGCCCTGTCAGCTTGAAGTCTGCCTGCCTGCCTGCCTGCCTGCCTGCCATCTTAAAATTTGGTATTGCACTTCTGTTGAGAAAGCTATAACAATGAAAACCAGAATACAGTTTTGCTGTTTTACAAATATCTCTTCCTTTAGCTCCCCTCAGGGTCATCTATTGTTTGACCCTGCCCGCATTCCCTCCCTGACCTTTCCCCTTAGGAACAGCACATTATGGGAGAGAGGTTAAGCTTTTATACCTGGGTCATTTTCTTGATAAAAACCACTCCTCAGATCTGCTATTTGCAGCAATTTTGCGGGGAGGGGACATAAAGGTGCCCATATGATACCCGTATATTGTCCCTCTGCTGGGCAAATAGCAGCTTCAAAGGTTATTTTAATCAGGCAAATGACCCTACTGGAAAGGGTTAACCCACCCATTTTCCAGTGTCACAGCCCTGATCTGATTTGGGACATAACTGGGTCTAACGACACACTCTGAAGACAGTAATAAAACAGCAGGTTATGTATGCTGGAAAACAAATGCACACCCAGCCAAACTGACAGCTACCCCTTCCCTCACAGAAACCTCTGGACTGTGAAAATTCCATTTCTGATAATTTTTCCCTCTTGGTTCACAGCATGTACTTTGACTGATTCACCAGCTGAACCAAACTGTGTCTGATCTTCATTGCCTGAACATCTAGATTTATCTCTATAGTTTAAAGCAACACGTCTGTGGAACATAATGAGCTCTGTACACAGCCTAACCCTTGCAAGCGACCAATAGTCACACTTATCTGCCTGCACATTCTTTTTCTCCGTTCTTACCGTAAACAATTCCAGGCTTCAAAGCTTTCCAGAACTCATCTGTCCCGCCTTTATTAAAAGTGTAACAGCTTCCATAGACGGGGTGATGAAAGTGCTCAGTTTCACTGTAGTGAAGGAAGGAAAAGGGGAATGGTCAAAATCAAATATGAGCATTTTTTGTTGTTGTCCCCTTTCCAGTGTTTGTTCACTGGACTTCATTCTCCAGTTCCTCAGCCCTCCAGATGCTTTGGGACTACAACTCCCATCATCTCTGACCATTGGTCCTGTTAGCTAGGGATGATGGGAGTTGTAGTCCCAAAACATTTGGAGGGCCGAGTTTGCCTATGTCGGTTCTACATCCTTCACCAATGTCCTTGAAAAGGATATGGAACAGAATGGAGTCTCCTGGAAAGGGCATGGCTGGCTGGATCCCTGAACGGGAGCACGCCACACTGAAATGTTTTGCTGCGGGTGCCCATTAACTATTCACAGCCCTGGGGATATGGTGAGATGGAGAGATAACCATCTTGTTCCATGTGACTATGCCGAAACATTTAATCACAAAAGCCATCTCAGAGAAAGGGGGACTTTTATGAATACTATCAGCCTCAAATGATAAGCACCCTCCTTCCCCCCTCACCAGCGGTATTTTGGATTTGGCGGTGGGGGCAGCTAGTGCTTAAGGACAGGGATAAAATATAAGGAATATAAGATAAAGGCAATCCAATTGACACCAAAAGAACATAAGAACAGCCTTTTGGATCAGGCCAATGACTCATAGTCCAGAATCCTGTTCTCACAGTGGCCAACCAGATGCCCCAATGGGAAGCTCCAAAGCAGAACAGCTCCTGTGGTTTCCAGTAACTGGCATTTATGGCCCTTATGTTTCCAACCTCGAAGGTGTGGATGTTGAAACATGGCCCTACATTACACCTGCATTCCAAAGCTGACCGTTATTTTTACGAGTGAGGTCATTTTGCCTTGGGACAAGAGCGGATCGTACAGCAGACCAAGAGAGGCTCTGCCCTCTGGAAGTTTGCTTAAAACTTACAGGAGCCTGCCAAATACCCGCAATTTGTCCCAGCTGATAACGCTTAAGCAAATGTTTGCTTGGGTTCATTATCGGCGACGCGTTTTGATGGGCCCTTGTGGTTAGCTCCGCCGGCTTCTTGTTTCAACAACAGACCAAGGGGTGGTGGTGGCAGGGACCAGTTTGGCTCCATCGAGGGAACAACTGGTACAGTCACACCTTGTACTGTACAGAAAAGAGATAAGGCCAGGCAATAGGATAGCCGGCAGCTGCACGACAGCACCATGGTTAAAAGTCAATTCATGGCAGCACATCCAAGCCACGTGGGGACTGGCAGGTGGTACAAAGGGAAGGGTGTCTCCAGAAGTGAGACTTCTTACAGGTAAAAGGTCTTGTAAGGCCACCGGCAGCCTTCCTGTCTGATCCACAAAACTGATGCCTTCTTTACATTGCCTGCTTGCGCCTTGAGATCTTTCCCATCTAAGCCCCTCTTGGAGGAAACTCATTGAAAGTACAGTAATGGCATGGCTGGCTGAGGTGAATTAATTTCAGTTGGTTTACTCTAAGTGGGACTAAGAGTGGAGACAATCCCTTCCATAGAAGTTCTGCTCCCACAAAGGAGAGGGTCTTTTCTTGCTGGGGTGCCCTGCTTCTGAAGTTGCCTCGCCAAGGAGGGACATCTGGCGCCATGATGAACTTTATGGTGCAAGAAGGTGAAGACCTTCCTACCGCCCAAGGCTTTTTAGGTTCAGCTACTATATTCAGCTGCCACTGAATACCAGTGGCTGGGAACTGCAGGAGGGGAGAGTTGCTTTCGTGCTCTGGTCCTGCTTGTTGGCCACTTTGAGAAGAGAGGGTTGCTTCCAACTCAATTCAACTCAGAACAGGCCCGATGAAAGGAGCAAACCTAAGTTAGGGCTTATCCATGCTTGCCTTTCATCTGCTTTCTCCAGGCACTGTCCATGATTTAAAGCTCTGGGTCTTTTCTGCCCTCAGAGTTTTCCCCATGAAAAACAGCTCTTTAAAGCTCAGTAGGAGCAAACGTCAATCTGTGGGGAAACCCGAATTGATGTTTGCTCCGATTCGACTTTAAAGAATGGGTTTTCGTGGGAAAAGCCCCATGGAAACCTCTTGGACACGGATCGTTATAGCACGGACCTCTGCCTGGAAAGAGCAGGGCAAAAGCTAAGTGTGGATAAGCCCTCAGTTATGGCCAAGAACATCATGAGCAGGACTAACACCAGCACAGCCAATAGAATCTAAGATGATGGGAGCTTGCCATCCAAGATTCTAGGGGTTGGGCTCAACTTCATGGCCAAGTGGGGATCAGAACCCTGCTTTCCCAGGCCCAAATCCGACACTCTAACCACTGCACCACACTGTCTCTCCCATTTGGCCAAGGCAATAGCAGTAGAGTTCACCTCCCTGCCCTCTCCACCCTCCGCCTCTCTCGCACTTCCTGCCCTGCTCCTTTTGCAAAGTACCTGCAATGCCCCTGAGGACAATGCTGCTGCTGCATGTCTCCTGAGACAGGCAGCATTTCACTGGGTGTGGGCAGGTTTGCTCTGGCTTTATCAGATTGTTCTCCTTGCTGCGCCGTATGCAAACAGAAGCCGGGGAGGACCCAGTGCCAACCTGCCCTTCACCTCGAGAGAGACAGGGAGAGTCTGTGGCAATTCTAGGGAACTTCCCCATCCGCAGCCTGAAATTATCCCGAAAGGAGAAGAGCCGCCAACGCCCTCTTGTGCGCCTGAACGAACCAGCTCCTCTCTGTGAGGGATCTGGGAATAGAAATAGGCAGGGTGGCTCGGGAGGTCAGGGCGGGGCTGCCCTTGGAATACTGTAGGGCGGTTCCGCAGAAAGGAGCTGGAAACAAAGGTCTGCAGAAAGGGCAGTCGATGGGATAGAGGGGAAGGGAGCAACTCCCCTATCTGTGAAGGGTGCATGTGCTCTGCAGTGGTTGGACCTTGGGAGAGGAGAGCTCAAAACCTGGCCAGGAAGCTGCCTCGCAGGGTTGTTGTGAGGATAATGTGGAGAGGGGCACCCGCACTGCCTAGAGCTCCTCAAAGGAAAAATAAGAACTAGTGTGGTCTAGTGGTTAAGAGTGTTGGACAAGGACTTGGGGGACCAGGAGACAAATTCCTAGCAACTGCCCTAGGCATGACTGAATTTCAGTCATTTCAATGGGTCTAGTCTGAGCATTGGATGCAACCCTACATTCTTCTTTTGCAGGAGCAATGCTTCCATCGACGACCACCAGCGGCTGCCTGTGAACTCCCTCTCTGGAATGATTCTCAGATGCTATGGTTCTACAACTGAGCAGGCCAACAGGCTGGGTGGCTGTGTGAGTTACCTAGCTTTGCAAGGCAATCCGTCGTACTGGCAAGCGTAGACCAGGTTGTTGATGTGGTCGTCGTCCTTGGAGATGTCAATGATGGGTGGGATCTGGGACATGATGTTCATGTAGTGGAAACTGTACCATTCCTGGAAAGCGTCGACCCCGGAGGAGTAAATCTTGGTGTAGCAGTCTCCGCCCGTTTGGTTACACTGAGGAAAGAAGAGAATTAGGGGAGTGAGAGGTTCAGCTCCGAGGAAACAATTGTGCAGTGATCAAGAAACTGGAGAGAGAGAGAGCAGAAGAGGGAGCTCTGCGGAGCAAAGCCTAAGGTCTGTCTTCTCCTGGTGGCTGACCAGATGCCTCTAGGTAGCCTGAAAGCAGAACAGGAAGCCAATTCTCCTCTCCAGCTGCTCCTCTCCAGCATACTGCCTCTGACCACACAGCCACCATGACCTCAGAGGCGCAGTGTGTTAAGCGCTGGCCTGAGAGAGGGCCTTCCCTGTGGCAGCGCCTGTGCTGTGGAACTCCTTCTTCACAGAGGTGCATCTGGTATCTTCAATATACAGCTTTTGGTGAATTAGCTAAAGTGGTGCTTCAGGTTAAGAACGGACCTCCGGAACGAATTAAGTACTTAACCCGAGGTACCACTGTATATCAATGTACAGTGGTACCTTGGTTCTCGAACAGCTTGGCTCCCAAACTAATCAGCTCCTGAACACCGCAAACCCAGAAGTGAGTGTTCCAGTTTGCGAAGGCTTTTTGGAAGTCGAATGTCTGACGCTGCTTCCGCAGCTTCTGATTGAGTGCAGGAAACTGCACTTTGGTTTCCAATGGTTCCAGGAGTCAAATGGAGTCCAAGAACAGATTAAGTTTGACAACCAAGGTACCCCTGTATCTTAATGATAATGATAATGATAATAATTTATTTCTTACCCGCCCTTCCCTCTAAGGTCTGAGGGTGGGTTCCAGCATTAAAAGCAATATTAAAAACAATCAAAAACAGCTTGCAACCATCAAAATAAGGTGGGTCCTAAAACATACACCCCAAATGTTATTATTCATGTTGTGTTTTAATTGTTGGCCTGGGACCTTGGGGTGAAGGGCATTTGAGAAATTGTAACAACAACAACAACAACAACAACAACAACAACAACAGGGTCATGATAGCCTCCCTGTCATTCTGTGATCCCTGAGTGGCTGGGCTCAGCCTGCAACCAATTCAGGAAGACCAATTGTCAATGGCAGGTGGCCACTGAAAATGGCCATTGAAATCCCCGTTCAACTTACCAGCCGGAAGCCCACTTTGCCGCCGCCCATTCTCACTAGAGCGATGCTGTCATCTAGCTTGAAGCTGGAGCTGTTGACCTCACTGTTTGTCCAGTTCTCCAGACTGACGCTGGAGTTGTCTTCCAGAGTGCTTGCCGGGATGCTGAAGGGGTATAGGTTGTGTAGGGTTTCCCTGGCCAGATTATCAAGCTCGGCCATATTTTTGCTGACTAGATTGACCCTGGGGAAATGAGAGAAATGACAAAGGGCTCTGAATATCAGCAGGGACAGTCTGATCAAAGAGGCCACTCCAGGAAACCCTGAAGGAGAAACACAGAACCTTAAGAAAACTTGAAGTGTGTCTCTCCTATGTATTGCTCCATTTACTTTTACAACAGGAGAAAGACATGCCTGTCAATGGAGGCATGGTAGGCTCAGGTGTGGTCCGTAGCTCTGGCCAAGAATAGGCTTGCCAGATCAGGGTGGTCAGAGGCAATATGAGTCCTTTATCCTTCGACAACACCGAGCATCCATCATCTCCCATATGAGATGCAGCAGTCAGCTTCCCAAACAACTGGAGAGACTTTTTGGACTAGAGACTTTCATATGCTTCATATTTATGCTTCATAAATTTGTTCTAAGTAGCAGTTCTAACATTTAGCTGCTGTTACGATTTTTTCCAAGAAAGGAGAGACTGGATGTTATTGTTGTCGTTTACTGTATTTTAGATTTTGCTTGTCCCAGGCGTCAAAGCAATAAAATACTATCTATCTATGTTGTGAAAGACTGAAAACAGGGAGCCCAAGAAAAGGGGAGGAACTGAGTTTGACAAATTCACCCCTCCCTACAAATAAGTGATCCCCTAAACTCCAGCCCTTCTCAACCTGCAAGTGAAGTTTTTCAATTATTCGAAAGGAAGACCCTCGAAAATACAAAAAAAACCCCACCCGTACCTGTATGGATTCAGGTTGCAGAGGGTGATGGCAGGAAACATCGTTTGTTGTGATTTGACAGAAATTGACAAGACCACTGGGTACTGCCAGTACTGGTTGAAGAGGAGCCCAAATTGCCAATACAGCATGGCAAAGCTGGCAAGGAAGAGAAGGGTCCAGAAGGCCGTCTTCATCTTGTTCCGACTCGAGCAGACCAGCCGGATGGTGCCATGGATGGTGGTGTTCAAGCAAAAGAACTCAAAGAGGTCCTTGAAGGAGGTGTAGAAAGCAATGAGGGCAGGGTCCTCTTCCCTTTTCATTTCTACCTCTTCCTCTTTCCTTGTTTCTTCTTCCATTCTCTAAACAGATATAAAGTTTTGAAATTTGGAGTTAGGATGGGCAAAGGGAGACCCAGGCTCCCCTTAAGCAATTAATTGATACCCCCAACTCCAAGGCAATTTATTTTAGCCAAAAGGGTGCTCCACATTCTGCCATTTTCAAATAGGGTGGCTAAATGTGGGTGATGGGGAGAGCATTTCAGCCCAGGCTGAATGCAGATAGGAGTTTGGTAATCATCATCATCATCATCTTATTTAAGTATAAGATATATGAAAAGTTGATAGTGCCTCAAAGCAAGTTCAACTCGATTGAACCAAAACAGTATGGAACTAAAGTTCCAAGGCAGCTCTGCGGATGACCGGAGGATCTGACATTCAGAGTCAAAATACAATGTAAGAAACTGAGGAGGACCCAATGGGCTCATCTAGTCCAGCATCCGCTTCTCACAGTGACCAACCGGTTGTCTGTTGTGAACCTGAATGTCACAGCACACTCCTCACTTGTAATTCTCAACGACAGCTGCTATCCAGAGACACACTTGGTTATAGCCAATGTTAGTCCTTCTTAGACTGGTGTAAATTAACTGATTTGACTAACTGGCACCCATTTATTTCAATGTGTCTACTCTGAGTAGGACTTCTCTGCTGACAACTTAGTGCCTCCGACAACAGGGGTAGAACATACCACTCTCTGGGACCAAGATTTGGAGACGTTCCATCAGGACTGTGGCAGAGTCTCCCCTTTCCTTCTTATGCCTTCCTGGAAACAGCATCTCTTATAGCCCTTAGCTCCAAATGGAGATGCTGACCCAACATCTCCAAAAGGGATGAGTAGCAGGCGGCATCTGATTCACAAGGGATCACTTCCTGGAGCACCTCCTATGCCATGTGCCAGGTTTCAACAACAGGCCTGAATCACAACCCGATTCAACAGGGACATTCATCCATTGCAAGACCCAATACCCGATTTGGATTTCAGCCCTGAGCTGGTCGATGGATATGGTATTTCTGGCGTGCCTCAGATCTACGAAACCTAGAGGGTGAGTAGCAGGAACCTTAAGCAAGGATCTTTCCGAGAGCTGGCGGAAGGGTGGCGGGGTCATCATGCAGCAATAGCAGTTTGCGGAAATGTATAGGGATGTATGTTAGGTGCCAAGTGCTATCTGCATTGGAGGCTGGTCCTTTCAGGTACTGCCCCACAAACCGCAGTCTGTCTTACAGGACCACTGCTACGATATTGTGGCTGGCAACCCAGGGTTGTTATCTGTGGGAATTAAACTCCAGATTTGTGGGTTGTTTGACCCTTTTCTTAGTTCCCTTCCCCTTCCTATAAAAGCTACACTCTCTTTTAAATTTTAAATGACAAGATAACTTTTATTGTGTGCGCTTGCAGTTGCAAATTGAATGTATAGTGCAGGTAGATAGATGATAGCTTAAGCTGCTAAAACATCTCACATAGATTCAACTGTTACAGACTATCTCTGACTCCGAAGCAGATGGCAGTTAGGATGGTTCATAACTGCCACAACCGCCATAACTGCCACAACTGCCACAGAGTGTGTGGCCGTTCCACAGCTCTTGAAATTAACCCTTTACATATGCATTTTGCATGCTGACATCCCTCAGGATCCAACTATGTTCTAGTTGGAAATGAATGGAGCCACACTTACCTAGTACCTCCGCTGCTTCCAGGCGCAACCTGTGCTTTTAACTCTGAGCACCTTTCTCATTTGCTCTGGAGCTTTTCTTGTGAAAACCCAAATCAACATTTGCTCTGACTGAGTGGGTTTTCACGGGGAAAGCTCTAGGTCGGGGTGGGTGGGGGAAACCCAACAATGTACCAAGCTTGAAAGCTCAGGCCTGTGCCTGGAAAGAGCGAGGCAAAAGATAAGTGTGGATAAACCCTTAGTCATGTCCCTCAACTCCAATGAGCCTACTCTGAGTAGTACTGGCATGGATTCAACCCTGACCTTTTTTTAGCAGACAGGAATGCACTGTTTTGTTTTAAATAATGGAAGATTTGTTTTAATATGCCTTTTCTTTAGTACTGTGTACATCAATTAAAGAACTTAATAATATGTACTCAAGATACACCCATTGCAGGAGTGTTGGCTCTGCAGAGGAGTCAGGGCCTTGCAAGATGGTGCCCTCTGCTGGTTGAGTCTGAATGGTGTTGAACGTTCAGCCGTTTCTTACGCCGCACAGAGAAATGCGGGAAGGTGCCTTTTGCTGAGTCAGATCCTTGCTGCATCCAGCTCAGTATTGCCTACACTGGCTGGCAGCAGCTCCCCAAGGGTTCAGACGGGCCATCTTTCTATGCTACATAGAAATGCTGAGGACCAAATCTAGGACTTTCTGCTTGCAGAGAGGAAGCTAAACCCCTGAGCTGTGACTAAGGGAGAAGGGTGGTAGGAAATTATACCGAGTCAGACCATTGTTCCCTCTAGCTCAATACTGTCTGCACAGACTGGCAGTGGCTCTCTAAGGTTTCAGAGTGAGAAACTTTTGCAGCCCCTAGCTGAGATTGAATCTGGGACCTTCTGCATTCAAAACAGATGCTCTTCCTGCTAAGCTACATAAGCTACATCCATGGACTCTGGTCTAAATGTGGGCTTGGAGTAGATGATTTCTCATGGACCCTTCCAACTCTAAAATTCTACTTCTTTCTTAAAATGCTCTTTGTAGAGTCTGGAGAAGAAGACTAGCTTTCCTTTAGGCAGGAAAGGGTTCTAGTCCCTATGGTTGCAGAGATAACTTTGAGAGAAGCTCAGCTTCCTTCAAAGCTTGCCTGAGTTATTTTGCTCTCCGAGCAAGGCACTCTTTTCTCATTTTCATTTTTAAAACATCACTAATGTTAATTGCCGCGCTCTTGGGCTTCGCAAGACTTAATCGAGGTGCCGATGGACCTACAGGATTCCTGAGCCCCATTACAAAGGAGTCAGCTATACCAAGTTGCTTCCATGCAATTAGCAACTGAGAAACAAACCTATTGCTTAATCAAGGGACATTGCAATAGTATAACAAGTATCACGCCACTCAAAATGTGACTGGAAAGCGAATTTACAGCCTGATCCTTTGCAATCTCCACTATATCATGCAGCAACAATAACAACCAGTAATAATAACAAAGGGTCCTGTTCATTTGCTATTTAATGCAGCACTTTAACAACAGTGTAGACATGAGAGATGGAGGATATAAAAATGGTGCAGTTAGGATTTTAATCCAAACCTAACACATTCACACTTAAACAATACTTTAAAATGTGCGCCTCTGACTTTGCAATGAGGTTCTCCAACTAAATAAAGCATATATTATATCTATCTATCTATCTATCTATCTATCATCTATCTATCTATCTATCTATCTATATCTATCTATCTATCTATCTACCTATCATCTAACTATCTCAGGGGGATTTGGTGCATAAAAACGCATATAGTGATTAAGATGATGTACATAAATGCTTTATCCTATGGGACATGGCTTGTAGTAATGTGTATGGGAAGCAGAACAGGCTAGAAGAGCAGCTACAGTGTAAGAATTTTGCACAGAAAGGCCAACTTTAAAGATAAATAATCTCTGCAGAGCTTTGGAGATTTGAAAACAATGAGTCTTGTTTGAATGAGAAACTGAGAGAGGGGCTGGCATGGATGAAGGGTAGAAGGAGAGTGTGGGGAAAAACCACCCTGCTGTAGCAAAGCCAATTCAGACAATGTCATAAAGTACATTTTAAACTCTCAAAAATTTCGCAGTGTTTCAAAACCATACAGCATTTAATGTATGACTTTCCTAGTTCACCAGTGATGATCTCTTGGATTCTCCCCTCCATCCTATTAACCATCTCTTTCCTGCCTGTTTTATTTCCATGAATTCAAGAGTTTTGCTGCCAAAGGCATTTTCATTTCTCAGATGATGCTTCTCTCCATTTGGCCCTTGCTTAGACTCCCAGTTGAGCCTGAATTCAAAGGAACAAAGAAATTACTATAAGGCTGTGTGCACAACATAGATTTAAATCACCTGCCAAAAGAAAATCCTGGGAACCTGTAGTTCATTAAGGGTGCTGGAAATCATAACCCCATGTGGAGAAACTACAGTCCTCATGATTCTTTATGGGGGTGTTGAATGTGTTTTACATGTATAATGTGTACACAGCCTAAGTGATGCAAGCTTCCAAGTCACACAGATGTCTACGTCAAGGAAAACCCCAAAGCTTCACTCTTCTCTGTGGCAATAACATGCAAAGTTCACTGGTCACGCTAGCATGTTTAGTTGTGGCAGGATAGGCTGTTGCTCAATCGGCGTAGCATCCCACATGCCGCATCACCAAAATCACTGTGAATCAAGCCTGGAATCTCCTCTCCATATCCAGTCATCGCAGGTTATGATGAAATCAGCAAAAAGTGCTTTGGCAAATAGGTGTGTGCTCTCCTGATACAACACACACCCTGCGGCTGTCCTTATCTACCAGGGATGGTTCTTATTTTCTGGAAATGTAAAGTTGGAAAGGGGTCTTAACGCATCATATCTAGCCCAGTGCAAGGAATCTAGAGCTGGAATATCCCCAACAGGAAGCAGACCAGCCTCAGAGAAGGCAGTGGCGCAGCCAGGGACAGACTTCGGGCCATATGTCGGGGTCCTCACATGAGTAGGAAGTTCCCCTGGACACAGCAAGGCTGGATGATGACATTTTGCAGTGAAATAATGCACACAGCTATCTAAAGAGGGCTACCTCTCCCTGTTGGGAAGCGGGTGGCGCTGTGGGTTAAACCACAGGGCCTAGGACTTGCCAATCTGTGGCGCTGTGGGTTAAACCACAGGGCCTAGGACTTGCCAATCAGAAGGTCAGCGGTTCGAATCCCCGCAACGGGGTGAGCTCCCATTGCTTGGTCCCTGCTCCTGCCAACCTAGCAGTTCGAAAGCATGTCAAAGTGCAAGCAGATAAATAGGTACCGCTCACACGGGAAGGTAAATGGCGTTTCCGTGCACTGCTCTGGTTCGCCAGAAGTGGCTTAGTCATGCTGGCCACATGACCCGGAAGCTGTACGCCGGCTCCCTTGGCCAATAAAGCAAGATGAGCACCGCAACCCCAGAGTTGGCCACGACTGGACCTAATGGTCAGGGGTCCCTTTACCTTTACCTCTCCCTGTTAAGACTGTTAATTCCAGAATCTAGAACTACCTACCTGTACCACTGTGCTCACTATCCTGTTTTATCATTGATGCTGTCATTGAACTGGATTTTGTTCCTTTCACTACTGTGTGTGGGGGCGGGCTATCCAGACTCCTTTGTGCAGGTAACAGAATTCCTCTGACTGCAGCCCCCGCTTCCAAGATTTAAAGCTCTGAGTTGAAGCACCTTGAAACCAGCACGCATGGATCTCAATGTGTGTGCATGGGTTTCAGTCAGGACTGGATTTAGGTTTGATGAGGCCCTAAGCCAGGCATAGGCAAACTCAGGCCCCCAGATGTTTGGGACTACAATTCCCATCATCCCTGACCACTGGTCCTGTTAGCTAGGGATGATGGGAATTGTAGTCCCAAACATCTGGAGGAACAGAGTTTGCCTATGCCTGCCCTAAGCTATTGAAGGTAATAGGGCTCTTTATATGTCCAGCTGTCCTTTGTCAACAGCAAATTGTCGCTGTTTTTTTGTGTTGAATATATGTTAAATGGTAATTTATGGACCTAATAGGTATCTAAAGCCATTTGCACATAACAAAATATGTATTTTATCTAAGTAATTGTTGAACTGAAATACAATTAAGAAGTATATTAATAGTGAAATACAATTCAGAAGAAGTATATTAATAGTGAAATAATTATTAAGCTCTAACTTATATTTTGGAAATGTACATCCAGCAGTTTTTTTTCCTTTAGATTTTTTGGGGGGGCCCAAGAGTGTGGGGCCCTAAAAGCTATAGTTTGTTTAGCTTATATGTAAATCCAACACTGGTCTCAGTGCATGTGCATGGATCTCAACCCGGTCCTAAACCCCAAAGCTAAGGGCCAACTCGTCTTTCTGCTGCCTTCAGCCACAAAGCAGAGCTCTGGTGAACCTCCGCCATGGCAGAAGCGGTGTGAAGGTGTGAAGTCAGAGCTGGTGGATTCTGGGCAGTTCTCCCATTGGTAGAGTCAGATCCAAAAGCCCCCACCATCCTCTGGGCCCTCAGCTGCACAAGCCTGAAGCTGGCACAGGAATAGAAACAAAGTAAAAAAACAACAACCCACCACAACTTTCCATCCTGATTGGCGAACGCCAGCAGGGCTTCGTAAGTGAATAAGTTCCCGGAGTTACTAGCCCACATTTTTCACTAGCCAGTTTGGTTAACAATTGTCACCTTTTTATTGCTCGTATCTTCCTCTTCTGCAAAAATGTACCCAGGAGAGCCTGCATGGCAGAATCGTGAAACCATCCAATATAACCGTGAGAGTGCAAAGACGGGCCGATTTTCCCGAAGCTGTGACAAAAGCCTTATAACCAACATGTTCTAATTGAAACAAGAGCCGAAACAGGCCGCAATAAAACCCGGCGTCGCACGTTTCTGGTGAGCAAAACAAACCTCGTTGAATTTAATGTGCGGTTAAAAATCTGCACTAAGAACATAAGCCTGGCAGGATAAGGCCAATGGCCCCTCTACTCTAGCATCCTGTTCTCTCAGTGGTCAACCGGGTGCCTGTGGGAAAGCAGCAAACAGGATCTGAATGCAAGAGCCCTTTCCCTTCCTGCAGTTTCCAGCAACTGGTACTCAGAAGGGTTGCTGCCTCTTGACTGTGGAGGCACAGAATAGCCATCATGGCTAGCGGCCTTCAATAGCCTTCTCCTCCATGAATTTGTCTCATCCTCTTTTAAAGCTATTGAAGTTGGTTACCATTACCGTACATCATTACTGCCTCCTGTGGCAGTGAGTTCCATGGTTTAACTATGTGCATGAATACACTCAGAAGTCATTATCTGAAAAGTGGTGTGTGTGTGTGTGTGTGTGTGTGTGTCTATGTGGCTGAATCACCATCAATCTGCTACAAGCCTATCTCCCAGAGCAGTGCTTTCAATCTTGGGTATCGCAATATTGTTGGATCACAAGGATAGGGATCATTCTTCGGCCCAAGGTCTGCATTTCCTTCTGGGCAACCTTCCAAGGCCACATGCCAGTGATGGGCTTTGGTTGAGATCCCTGCATTGCAGGGGGTTGGACTAGATGGCCCTTGGGGTCCCTTCCGATTCTACAATTCTATGATTGGAATCTATACTTCTCCCAGTTTTGCAGGGCAGTTCTCCAGCTAGTTGATGTGCACAAAAATGCGTATACTGGGGTCAAGTGTGTGTACGAATAGATATACAGTTATACCTCGGGTTACAGACGCTTCAGGTTACAGACTCTGCTAACCCAGAAATAGTACCTCAGGTTAAGAACTTTGCTTCAGGATGAGAACAGGATGAGAACACTGCGGTGGCGCAGTGGCAGTGGGAGGCCCCATTAGCTAAAGTGGTACCTCAGGTTAAGAACAGTTTCAGGTTAAGAACGGACCTCCAGAACGAATTAAGTTCTTAACCCGAGGTACCACTGTATTGGTGAAAACAATGTACAAAAGTGCAATAGGGGGTAACTGCTTTGCAGACGTGTGTGTACATTTGGTGATATTGCCTACCAAAAACAGGACAGGGGGAGAAATTCACACTAAGGCGCTGGTGAATTTTCATGAGGTATTCATAAACCGATGCAGGAATTGTGGAGAACCAAATTGAAGGTTGGGGGAAAAAAGAGGCATGTAAAGCATTGTAGAACAGAATTGTGGAGTTGGAAGGGATCTCGTCTAGTCCAACGCCCTGCAATGCAGGAATCAAAGAGAAACTGAAATGGACAGATTCACCAATCCTTCAGATGAATTCAATAATTTCCTACCTCATCTGCACTCAGTGGCATGAAGAAGACTTTGTGGCAGATGTCAGTGGCCCTTCTCAGCAAGAGGCGGAAGAGAGTCACCTGTTCCAACCAGGTTGTTTTACTACATTAACAATGCAGGCCTAACTACGTCTACTCAGAAGCAGGTCCTGTTGAATTCAAGGGGACTTACACTCAAGCTGGAATGCAGACTAATCTATGGGTTTCCCCCACTCTTAAATTCAGTTCCCCTTATATCTGCACATGTTCATGATTTATTATTTTTAAAAATTGTATGCATTTTTCTCCCTTTCCCCCTTAAGGTATACCCTTTTGAACACAATTTTACTTGTTGTATGCACTTCCCCCCAAGCAATTCAGCCCCATCTTTGTGATTTTCTCTGACATATGCATTTCTTTCCTTTCCTTGCCTTCGGGTTTTTCCCCATGCATTCTTTGGTATGGGGAGGGCATTGTAAAAACTGAGATGGGTGAATAGCCGTGCTTTGGTTTGCTGATTAGTTTGGGGGATGCAGATGTGGTAGCTTTGCATTAAAATGTGACTTGAACACACCTTTCTTCCCTTAACTTTCATTCCCAGCTAAGTGGGGTTGGGATTGCACCCTAAGGGATCTAATAAAGCCTTCACCCCCTATAGTTAGACCATTAAATCCAGAGTAGAAAATTCCCTTTGCCACTTATCTTCTAAAGCATTTGGTGCTAAGAGGACAGGTTCTCTCAAGCAAAGGATTTGTTGTTGCCGCAGGTGGGGTAGCCTGTGTTTCAACTCGTAAGTTTGATGCAAAGGTACCAGATTCTGTTCTTTGCAAGCTATGGGAAGGGGGTTGCCATAAATCCAGATGGATTCAAAGACACTACATTTTTTCGCAGAAAACATTGCATGAATTCAGCCTGAGGACCTGGGCAGCAAGATGTTCTCAGAATCAAATCCTACTGAGCTCAATCCAATTCACTCCTAGGGAAGCATTTCTAGGACTGCCAAATCTTTCCATGTGACTTTGATTTATGTGAAGTTACCGTACATTCGCAAAGGATGAGCAAAGGATGAGTGAAAGAAACCCAGAGGAATTCAGCTTGCAAACATACACATTAGGCCATCGTTGTTTGGAATAGGAAGACGTGTGCAGAGGGACAGTAAGTGTGTTTACTCAGAAGTGAGTCTCACTCAGTGCAATGGCACTTGCTCCCTGGCAAAGTGCTGAGAATCTCTGCTTTAATTACCTCCCCTTGCAGATTCCCTACCATCCTGCTCAGCAAAACTTTTCTGGATGATCAACTGCATAGCAGCTACGTGCAGAGAGAGAGAGAGAGAGATCAGAGGAAGCAATTAGCAAGGACAAAAACAGAAATGTCAGCTGCAGCAAGGAAAACCATCAAATGAGCCATTTTGTGAGCAAGTGGCTAGTCCTCATGAGGCAGAAGGGAACGTTCTGCTACAGAAAGATTTTTGGAAACATATCCTCTTGTATAAAGAAAATTCTTCTTTTCCTTCTTTGCAAACAGTGGCACTGGTCCGTAGGACAAGACTTTGGGGTAGAGGTCTGGGGGCCCAGGCCAGCAGAATGAGCAGGAGGGTTCTCAGAACAGCAGGGTCTGGCTTATTCCATGTTGATGCTAAGTGAAATAATCCCCATGTCTACAGTCCAAAATCAACTAACTGCTTCACTGTTTGCAAACCCTTCTTTATGCATACTCAAATCTCTCTCTCTCTCTTTCTTTCTGGAACATATGTGCCCATCCATGGATAAGGATGGAGGAGAACTCAAGTTTGCACTTCCCAAAGCAGCACACACACACACTGAACTACAGATATCCTTTGAAATGTGCACTTCTCTGAGTTCTGCAACGTTTTCCCCAAGGATTTTTTAAAAATGGGAAGTATTAGAGGAAAGCCTGCCTAAAAATCCACTTATTAGTAAAAATGGCATACAAAGATGCACTTTATTAGGGGAGACCAGTTTGCAAAAATGTGTATATTAGGCAAAATTGCATACAGAGACAAGTACACAGTAAAATGCTGATCAGTGCTGCAGTCAAGGTTAGTTCTGCTCAAAGCAGAACCATCAAAATTAATGACCATGACCAACTTAGGTTCATTAATTTCTACTCTAAGTAGAACTTAGTTGGATTTATATGTATGTGTGTGTGTGTGTGTGTGCATGCACACGCAAACTGAGGCAGAAATGTAACCAGCTGACTGGAGAAATGAGAAATGAATTAAGAGATCTAGCCTCCCCTGTCGACAGATGCATCAGTCTACTTTGAAGCCTTGCACATTCCAACCGATCGCCTTATATCCACACTAATAACACTAATCCCTAACAATTGTATCAATATTTAGCAGCAGCGCCTTGCCTTTCCAGTGTCCCACACCCATTGCCTCAAGCACCAGTAGGTAAGCCTCGTAAAAATCCCATTATTGTTATCTCTACATTGCAACAGTGGGTGGGTGGGGACTTGTAGCACAAGGATGGTGGTTTGCCTGGGGGCAGCAGGCAGATGACCAGCAACTTGGGGAGCAACTGCAGCTCAGTCCTAAAGCACATGGAGATGGTCCGAAGGTCAGGTAACAAAAGCCTCTCTTAGCTCAAGAACCCCAGGGAGTCACTCCTGGTCACAGCAGACAATCTAAGGCTATGTAGACAAAGTTTGTTCCTGCATTGCAGGTGGTTCGCCTAGATGACCCTTGGGGTCCTTTCCAATTCTACTATGATTCTAAGTCTGAACTGGTACAAGCCAGCTTCCTTACTTCCCAACACTGAGTGCCAGTGTGGTGTAGTTGTTAGTGCTAGACTAGGACCTGAAGGAGCATATACCTGAAGGAGCGTCTCCACCCCCATCATTCTGCCTGGACACTGAGGTCCAGCGCCGAGGGCCTTCTGGCGGTTCCCTCACTGCAAGAAGCCAAGTTACAGGGAACCAGGCAGAGGGCCTTCTCGGGAGTGGCATCTGCCCTGTGGAACGCCCTCCCACCAGATGTCAAAGAGAAGAACAACTACCAGACTTTTAGAAGACATCTGAAGGCAGCCCTCTTTAGGGAAGCTTTTAATGTTTAACAGACTACTGTATTATAATACTTTGTTAAATCCGCCCAGAGTGGCTGGGGAAACCCAGCCAGATGGGTGGGGTATAAATAATAAATTATTATTATTATTATTATTATTATTATTATTATTATTATTACTACTAGGACCTGGGAGACTCCAGTTCCCCACTCAGCCACGAAGCTCACTGGATGTGACCTCAGGCCAGTCGCTGCCTCTCAGCCTGACCTGCATCACAGGGCTGTTGTGGGGATTTAGTGAGGACAGGGAGACCCCTTTATGCCACCTTGAGCTCCTTGGAAAAGGAGGTGGGGATACAAATGCAATAAATAAATAAATAAATAAAACGAGTCAATTGGTTCAGCCATCATGATAAGCAAGCTGCCCACCAGTCCAGCCAAAGGCAGCTTGCAGTCCCTCTGCTGGGATAAACACCCCAGTTTCTGTGACTTGGGATCTAGTGAGTGATGGGCCCATCTCCTCTCCCACTCCTTTATCTCAGAACATCCCACCTTCAAGCATTACTGATATTTTGCGAGAAGCTGCGACTCTGGTGTTGTATGCAGAACACCCCAACTTCAAAGGTGGAGCTGAGCTGTGGAAGCAGATCTCTCCCTCCCCCTCTCTCTCTCTCTCTCTCTCTCTCTCTCTCTCTCTCTCAGAACTGCTGTTGGTTTGAGTTGACAACACTGAGCATCACAACTATGTTTGAAGGCAACCACTGCTTTCATATTAAAGGACAAGTGAGGTCCAAGTGTCTATTTCTCATCTCTGGACCAGCAATGCACCTGACAGTGCAATCCTATGCACTGAGTTGGGGCTTACACCTGGGTAGGAGAGCATAGGATGGCAGCCCAGAAGCTATTAGCTTCCCACTTCCAAAAGCTAGTCGCTACCACTGTTTGCTTGTGTTGTGAAAATCCACTCAGAGGCCAACATTTTGAGCTATAAAAAGGAGGACAGCTCAGTCAGCGTCTCATCCAGGTACAGGTGAGCTCCAAAACAACTACCGGTAACTAAAGCCAACAGCTCAGTCTCCAGAAGCGAATGACTGATTCACCTCTAGTCATTTGCCCTCTTTGATGCCCACTCTATCCCATTTTCATTCATTTCACTTTTAACTGGGATACCGCCTTCCTGTATTGCTATATACGCAAGGCAGTTTACAAGCCGTAGAAACAACAAAATATACTGCGAAGGCTGCACATCCATTAAAACATTCCGATCCAACAAAAGTATGTCACAATAACAGTCATTTAAAATAAGTGGATTATGCCAAATAAAGTAATATTCAGGAATCCATTTTGAATAGAATATCACACAATAAAATTAACTCTCAAAATATCAGCTGATAATAATGAAGCAGATATTCGCTCTCAACAACGACGGCAAATCATTACTAGACTATGACCGACAAAAAATAACACCACAGGTAGAAGACTAAAGGCAGTGTAAAAAGATCATCAAAGTCACATAGCTTATATTTTTTTTTTTAAAAATGCACCATCGCAACTGGTCCCTTTCTGCATATGTAAAAAAATAGGTCTCCTCTGTGTACAGATTCCTGGAAATTGCTTGAGCCTCCCATGGGGCCAAAATAGATGGAACATGGAAATCACAGCAGAGTGTTTGTGGTCCTTTGACTCATTCTCCACTGTACACCTGTGGCAGAACACGGCAGCAGGTAGGACCGAAGGTGGGTAGAAGAATCACAATTCCAAATTCTTTCCCTTGGTCAAAGGAATTGTCCATGAATTGGAAAAACCAGCACTGCAGGAGAAAGAGCTGGTTGGGAGAAACTTGAGGCACTAGTTCTCTTTGCACAAGGACTTTTTTTCCTTTTCTGCATAAAAATAAGGTGGGGTGACATCGAAAAGGAGTTCAGGCACCACCTGAAGTGTTACAGTCCTTTCTAACCACCTCATTGTCCACCCCTCCGCTTGCATGCTGTAGATGCTCACCAAACTGTACTCAACTGTAGAAACCCGTCCAGCAAAACACACAGAGACAGTCAAATGTAATCATAAGAAGCCGAGTTACACTACCATTAGCCTACTTGCTCTAAATATAGCAATTATGAGCTGGTTTCAGGCACTAATGCCAGGGCAGAGCCACACACAAGGCACACACATTAGCAGCCGCAAGAAAGCGATCGGTACCTTGGTTGCCCCCGCTCTTCTCTCGGACTGGGAGCCGGGTGGAGCGGCGTGGAGCGCAGCGCGGAGGAGCTGGCAAAATGTGAAGGCAGGATCCTGAGAGTTTTCTTTTATACCCACAGATAAGAGCGCCTGGGAGCTGTCCAGCCTTGTTATGCAGATTGAGAGGTTGAGTCACGGCTCGAAAGGGCTGGAGCTTCATGGAGAGACGCAGCCGGCTGGGAAGAAGACCAGACCAGACCAGCCAGTCGGAGGACGCGGAGAAGCTTGCTCAACTTGGGAAGCTTTTGGATTCATGCGGAATCTCGCGCAAAGGCGTCCGTTTGTTGGCTGCGATAGAGGGAGGAGGAAACGAGGAAATAATTCCAAATTCTTAGGAATCCTACTTGCAATGTCTTCATCGTCCTCATCTTTCGGGTGATTCGGTCGCTTCTCCTGCTGCCCTCAAAGATGCCGGGTGACCTCCCTGCCTCGGAAAATTTCCTCCTGTATTCTCAGGAATACAGGGACGCAGGAAGCTGCCTTGCACTCAGCACGTGTTGTGTACCATTGGCTCGTCTGGCTCAGTCTTGTCGACACTGATCGGCAGCAGTTATCCTGGATAGCTCAGTTGGTTAGAGCACGATGCTGATAATGCCAAGGTTGCAGGTTCGATCCCTGTATGGGGCATCTGCATATATTCCTGCATTGCAGGGGGCTGGACCAGATGATCCTCAGGGTCCCTTCCAACTCTACAATTCTGTGATCTGTGATCCAGGGTCCGGAGAAGGGGTGTTTCCTGGTCCTATGTGGAGATGCTGATGATTGAGCCTGCAACCTTCTGCATGGCCACAATCCTTCTTGGAAAAATCTGGTGTTTGGACCAGGGTGCTTTTGGAGGGGCCACCACAGTGCTAGTTACTGAGACACTTCCTTTTGGAGTTTTACATGGGTTGTTGTTGTTGTTTTTAAGCACCATTTATTTACATCTACATTTCAGTTTTTAATATTCTGGTCTCTGGTGTTGCAGCTCCTTTCCTCCAACTCTTTTCTTTCTTTCTTTCTTTCTTTCTTTCTTTCTTTCTTTCTTTCTTTCTTATCTACCCTGACTGGCAGCAGCTTTCCAGGGTTTCAGAAGAGAGTCTGTCCCAGCCCTACCTAGAGATGCCATGGGAGATTGAACTTGGAACCTTCTGCATGCAAAACAGATGCTCTGCCACTGAGCTCCAGCCCTTAAGACACAGGAACACAACATGCAACACACACACACAGGAACACATACTGAGTCAGGCCGTTGTCCATCTAGCTCAGGGTTGCTTACACTGACTGGCAGCAGGTAGGGGATAAATCCCAGCCTTACCTGGAGATACCGAAGGAGAAGTGAACTCCAGGGCATCCGAATCCAACATCTGGTCTACTGCCATAGCCAGCTGCCTACCTTCCTTATTCCACTGGGTTGCGGGATTTTGGGTCCTGCCTGCCTGCGTGAATGGGAGGGAGGGAGGGAGTGTTTGCACATATTATTTCCACCCATTGCAAGCTGCTGCGAGGATCATTCAGTGATGTTGCTGTCAGTGTTTTCCTGGATTGGATTAACCAGCTGTTTTACTGTGATTATTTTTTTTTAAGTGGGCAAAGGATAACCAAGATCTACTGTGCCACTGAGTTTTGTTCATAATAGAGTGTGGCTGCTTTTCGACTCTGTGATTTTGTACACTTTTATCTCTTTTCTTTCACCAGCACTGGGACTACTGTGTGAACGGAAGGCGAGAAGTATTTAAGTGAAGGGGTTTGGACTAGATGACACTCTGGGTCCCTTCCAATTTTATGATTCTCTGAAATTAAAATGCAACTTTCCACCCTGATGACAATTTCTGTCTGACATTTCTGGTCAAATGTATAGTGCCCTCGGCAAGTGGAGGGGCAACCATAGCCAGAGGCTTAGTGGTCCAGAGTTGCAGGAGGTCAAAGACCCACTACTATTTTTGCAGCAGAGTCTCTCTGCATGAAAGGGGAGTTTTGTAGCCCCTGAGAATCAGGATTCTCTCCCTTTGGGCTGATTGGAACCAATCCGAGTGAAAGGAGGTGAGTTGGCCAGTGGGGATTGGCTCCTAGGGTTACTCTGGAGAAGGTGCGCAGGAAGAACACCAAAAAGGAAGAGTTCTATATGCTCCAAAGCTCAGCATTTTCACTTCACCGAAAGCACAAGGGGGGTTAGTTTCAAGAGAACAGCATGCAAGTTCTGTTACGTGCAATGGAATGTCATGGAAAACACAACTGAACTCACTCCAAAAGAAGCTATAGGACCGCTCCAAATGTACATGTACAGAAAAGAGCAGATCTAGCTGAAAGGCAGCACATGAAGGTCTGCATTGATCGTTACAATACATCCATTATTATTATTATTATTATTATTATTACAGTGGTACCTCTGGATGTGAACAGGATCTGTTCCAGAGCCCTGTTCGCAACCTGACCAGAACGCAACCCGCATCTGCGCATGCGCAGGTCATGATTCGCTGCTTCTGCGCATGCGTGTGATGTCATTTTGAGCGTCTGTGCATGCGAGAGTGGCGAAACCTGGAAGTAACGTGTTCCGTTACTTCTGGGTCGCCGTGGAGAGCAACCTGAAAACGCTCAACCTGAAGCATATTTAACTGGAGGTATGACTGTATTATTATTATTCTATTGTGTAATCTTAGAAGTTTGTATCATTTTAGAAGGGTCGTGGCTGCAACTGAATGAAGGGACTCTGCACTTTTGCCATTAAACAACAGACTCAATGGCTATAGGCCAAGGAGCAATGGGGTGCCTAAAATGAGTCCCCGATCATTCCGTTGCAAGCAGGGCTCACTGTTTGGCACTGACAGCAAGCCCTGCTGCAGCTGGCTGCATAGGAGAGCTCCACATCTCTTGTGAAGCCAAGGAGGCACAGACAGGGCTTTGCCTCACCGCAAAATCACAGCATCTAAGCAAGCAAGTCAGCACTGTGCTTCCAGCTCCTCTGCTCTGTTGCTTTCAGTTAGCACTCCAGCTTTGCAGGGGTGGACTGGGGGACGAGGAAGGAAGGAGGCTTCACAGCCACATGCAGAATTCGACATCTGGATCAAAGGGGTTACGGCAGCTGGAAGATGAACAGTTTGTGCCGAATTGGAGGTCAACGCGAAGGAAGTGCTTGAAACTCTGCTCTCTGGTGAAGGCCAATTTAAGAAGCAGGTTATGCGATGCATCACCCTATTTCCTCCTAAGGAGTTCTTGCAAAAGTAACGTCCTTTGCATAGGACGTCCTGACCCAATCTGAACTGGCTGAGGATCTCGCTGACGCTTTTCAAAGGAAGCCCATGTGTGTCACACAACAGTAGCCTCATCTTGATGTGACGACATGGGTCAGTATGACCCTTAGGAACGAGCTGGGCATGTTTAGCCTGGAGAAGAGGAGGTTAAGGGGTGATATGATAGCCATGTTCAAATATATAAAAGGATGTCACATAGAGGAGGGAGAAAGGTTGTTTTCTGCTGCTCCAGAGAAGCGGACACGGAGCAATGGATCCAAACTACAAGAAAGAAGATTCCACCTAAACATTAGGAAGAACTTCCTGACAGTAAGAGCTGTTCGACAGTGGAATTTGCTGCCAAGGAGTGTGGTGGAGTCTCCTTCTTTGGAGGTCTTTAAGCAGAGGCTTGACAACCATATGTCAGGAGTGCTCTGATGGTGTTTCCTGCTTGGCAGGGGGTTGGACTCGATGGCCCTTGTGGTCTCTTCCAACTCTATGATTCTATGATTCTAAGTCATTCCACTCTCCAGGAATATCCAGAGAGGGGAAAGCAAATAGGCTGTGATCCTAACTGTGTAAGTTGCAATTAATTCAATGGGGGTCACTCCCAGGTAAGTAGGATTGGGATTGCGGCCTCAGTTGGTTAACAGCACACCTGGGGTTGTCTCCAACTCAGTTTTATAGAATCCATAGGAGCCAACTCCTAGGGGCTGAGGTCCTTTCAGCCCCCCCGCCCCCATAAAATATTTGAGGGAGCTGGGCCTCCTAAAGTTGATGGACATTGCATTCAAATACAGTGGTACCTCAGGTTAAGTACTTAATTCGTTCCGGAGGTCCGTTCTTAACCTGAATCACCACTTTAGTTAATGGGGCCTCCTGCTGCTGCCGCCGGAGCCAGATTTCCGTTCTTATCCTGAAGCAAAGTTCTTAACCTGAAGCACTATTTCTGGGTTAGCAGAGTGTGTAACCTGAAGCGTATGTAACCCGAGGTACCACTGTAGTGTGCATGTGCTGCAGCATGTGACCGATTATGCAGGGCGGAGCTCACCTGTCCCACCCCACAATATTTTATTCAGATTAGCATCATAGAATTCTAGAGTTGGGAGGGATAGCGCCATCTTGTCCAACCCCCTGCAGTGACAGAATCACAGCTTAAAGAATCCCTGACAAAAGAACAGTGGCAAGGGAAATTGACGGATTATGCGGAACTGGCGAAATTGACATACAAACTGCGAGACAAGGACAAATGTGGCTTTAAAGAAGAATGGGAACTTTTTACAAATTACTTTTAAAAAAACCAAACCAAAATGAACTGGACTCCTTGGCAGGTTTTGAATAAACATACACAAATTTATTATTGTTAACATAATAGATAATATTTACAATTTTATAATATGCAGAGAATAACGTGTTGAAAAATCAGAGAGAGGAGCTGAGGGAAGTCTTGTGGGGGAGGGAGGGAGGCTTTTTCTTGGGGAGGGGGAAGGGAAAAAATGGGGGGGGGAATGAAGATGATATGTTTTTGATAATTTGTTATGTTGAAATTCATAATAAAAATTATTTTTTAAAAAGAAAAGAATCCCTGACAGACGGCCCTCCAACCTCTACTTAAATAACTCCAATGTGTGGACCTATTGAAACTGATGAACCTAAGCTAGTCAAGTCTATTAACATCAGTGAGCCTACTCTGGGTAAAACTAGTATTGACGACGACCCAGGGCCACTGATGTTACCTTCCAATGACAAGCGGAGCCAACTCATTGTGGTTTCATCCCCATCCTTCTTCCTTGCTGAAATATACCAGGGAAGCACCGAGTCTAAAGAGGAGGAAGCTGACAGACATGCCATTGGATGAGTTGCAAGTCAGATGTCAAGCAGGTAGTGGCTGCCTAAGGGCAGACTGAGGTTGCTACAACTGTGTCCCCAGTTGCCCTATATTATTATTATTATTATTATTATTATTATTATCACGTATTTATATCAGTGGTTCTCAAACTTTTTTCCTCTGGGCCACACTTTCAGAATAAAAATTTGCTCGGGCAACACCGTTTTTAAATTTTTTTTTTTAATTGCTAACAAAAAGAAAGTAACACCTAGCAGGGTTATTACTTTATAATATGACCACGGGACAGCCAGAAAGTGTAAAAACAATGCAGGTGCATAAGAACAGGACTCATTTCCGCACACCTGATGCTCTTGTTCTCATTTTGAAGAGATATCCATATTCTGCAAATAAAACAAAACATTTTGATACCATCATGTGGTATACTACACTGAAATGTTTAAATCAGGGGTGAGCAACCTTTTTCAGCAGGGGGCCGGTTCACCATCCCTCAGATCATGTGGGGGGCCGGACTATATTTTTTTGGGGGGAAATGAACAAATTCCTATGCCCCACAAATAACCCAGAGATGCATTTTAAATAAAAGGACACATTCTACTCATGTAAAAACATGCTGATTCCCAGACCGTCCAGGGGCCGGATTTAGAAGGCGATTGGGCTGCATCTGGCCCACGGGCCTTAGGTTGCCTACCCCTGGTTTAAATATTCCTTTGATTGTCCTTGATTGTCTCCTGCCATGCCAGTGTGGCACGCTACGACCTTTGAAAACCACGGCCCTAAATAGACCAGACTCCATTGCTTAGATCATCTGGGGAAATACTGCTCATGGCGCCGTACCTAGAATATCATCGTGGGGCAGGATAGGGGAGAGACTTGGATCATGTCCCACTTAAAGGAGATTCTGTTGAACCTGCAGTTCAATGCAGTTCTCCAGCCCAGCAGAGAACTGCATTGAACTTTTAACAAATGTGCATTTCTTTTAACAAATGTGTACATTTGGGGAAAGTGTGCATAAAAATGAATATATCAGTGAAAAGAACATACTACGATGTTAGGTGGAATTGTTTGCAGAAATGCGTACATTAACTCAAAGCTAAGTACAAAAGAAGGTGCTTA